TCTGATGTGTCCGCTGAGTCATCCTGGTTCGTTTCAGCATCATCAGAATTAAACAACGTCACTTTGTGAAACCCAGTTTTATGAGTACTTAAAGCCTGTTCAGAATTGAAGTGTCTGGAGCAGCGACTACATTTGTAAACCATCTTGATATCACCTCTCTAGGTCAACTGTCTGACGATAACAGCAATCTCTACTTTTATACTAATGAGAGAATGAGACGCTAATGAGAGACTTCTTCAGTCTCTAATACTTTAGGCTCAAATCTTGACTTGAGCCTAAAGTTGCACCTCGTCTCTCTCAGAAGAAGAAGTCTCTCATTAGCACCATGTTCCACTCATTCATATTTAATTATCATTCATATGCATTCATATTTAATTATCATACTTTGCAATCAAATTTTTATTTTAATTAAACCTAACCCCCAAATTAATTAGGGTTGGACTGAGTGAGGTGGAAAATCAAATCAATTGATCATATGGAGGTAGATCTTTTGAGGCAGCTCCCCATTTGCCAAAATGTGTACATATGTATACATATGTATGTTTACATATGTATACATATGTATGTGTACATATGTGTACATATGTATACATATGTATGTGTACATATGTATACATATGTGTGTGCACATATGCATACATTTGAGCGTGTACACATGTGTGCATATGTAATTACATGTGTAAACATATGAATTTACCTCAAATCATAATATCTTTCAGATGGCTTAATAATTTCGGACCAGTATAAAAGTAGAGATTGCTGTTATCGTCAGACAGTTGACCTAGAGAGGTGATATCAAGATGGTTTACAAATGTAGTCGCTGCTCCAGACACTTCAATTCTGAACAGGCTTTAAGTACTCATAAAACTGGGTTTCACAAAGTGACGTTGTTTAATTCTGATGATGCTGAAACGAACCAGGATGACTCAGCGGACACATCAGAGTCCAACGAAACTAGCTCCGATGATGAACCCCAAGCAAAAAAAGAAAGACGATCTCGAGGTGGAAGAAGGAACAAGCTGTCAAATTGTAGTAGAGAAGGGGACAGTCGAGATTCAAGTTCAGATGCGTCTTCGGACGAAGAAGAGGAAGAAGATGATACAGAAAGTCAGGCAAGTGGAACTTCTGGTGAATGCTGTAAGGTGTGTCGGACATTGCATAAGCCTGACCGTGTAGATTTTTGGGGTGAACCACTTTTTGAGTATCATATTCATGGAGTAGAATTGATGCTAAGCAATGAAGATTCGATGAATGTGTTAACAAAATTGATGCAGTTTCTAGAACTCCCCCAAACCCAAGAGGAGAAAATGTTAACGTTTGGGGAACATGTGAAAAATGTAATAGCGTCTATTATGCAGGCGGCAAAGAATGGAGAAATGGTTGTGACTCGTAAATTACTTACTGATATCGTAAGATCGTCTGAAGGTCTCCCAAATGATAATCCATACGCTTGATTACCAGTAAGAAAACGTTGAAACCTACTCAATGCTAAATGAACAACTGTATACTTTCCAAGTTACTCAAAATAAAAGATCAAAAACCTTCTAATTCTTGTGCAAACCAACAACATTGTCTTTTAATGCAGCTTAAAAATCAAGTGGTTTTAGTGTTTTGTTTTTAACGCAATAAAGTTAAAGGGAGATAATTTTTCTAAAAGTTTGTGTGCTGTGTACTTAGGCACTGCCTCACCTACATATCCCAACTTTACTTATGATAATAAATAAATGGGAAAGGTTTACATTAGACAAGAACTCAGTCAAATTTACGGCGCATAATAAATAAACACGGTTTTAAGAATTAGTTAACAAATCTTTGACAATAAATGCTAATTATAAATACTTCTGATCTGTTATTTCATCTCATTACTGCAAACAATTTTCATATATAATTTTTCATGTTTTTAAAGCAATAAGTTTTTTCATGCGTGAATATCATATTTTCACAAATAACGCTATATTTTTGTAGATAAACCTTCATAAGTACTATTTCAAACGTTTATGAAAAATTGCGTCATCATTAGTATCACCACTAACTTCAGAAACGTTTCACTCTACCTTTTTTCAATCTTTTTCTCGTAACTTGCTTATTAGTATCAACACTACCACCAACAAAAAGGTTGAACTCCACTTTTTCAACCTTTTCTATACATAATAAAACTTAAAGCATAGGACGGGACATAACAAATACTGGCATACCCTTACATGATGACTTAATACACCATACATATACCTTGGTCTCATAACAAAGGTGTCTATCCTTAAACGCTATGGGAATAAGTTCTCCCATAAGAAATGTATTGTAAGGAAGAGGCATTGGGCGGAGCCGTAGAAAAGGCTCGGGGTATTTTGGAATATTTGGGGTGCTTTGAAATATTTAATTGGGGTAAATTGAGGTATTTGGATAAATTGGGATACTTGAATAAATTGAGACAAATGGGATAACATGAGACATTTGGGGGTAAATTGACACACTTGGATAATTTGGGAGAATATAAATTGAGACCTAAAGTCTCAAATGTCCCGCCATCATTTCTTGTCAACCCATGTACACCCATCTGACAGATTTTTTCCCATAGGAAATACGTTGTTCGGGTAATTTGAGATTTGGGATAATTTTAGTCATTTGGGGTGATTTGAGACACCAGGGGTAATTTATGGCATAGAGGGGTAACTTGAGACAATTGGGGCATTTTGAGATACTTGGGGTAATTTGAGTTGTCCCGCCAATATTTTTCGACACATGAAAATACATCTGAGACTTTGGTTACTATAAGCAGACAGCATATCCTTGCAATACATACCTATGCTATAAAGGCCTTGTGGCGAGGAGCCGTCTTTTTCCTCATAAGAAGTGTGTGATGAGGACCCGTCTTTTTTTCCCATAAGAAATAGAGTGGGCGAGAAATCCGTGGCTTCTCCCATAAGAAATAAAGTGGGTGAGAAATCCGTGGCTTCTCCCATAAGAAATAAAGTGGGCGAGAAATCCTTGGCGAGAAGCCCTAGCCAAGGATTTCCCCATAAGAAATAAAGCGGGCGAGAAATCTTTGGCGAAAAAACCTAGACACTTCTACTACTCATTCATTGATCATTTATTGATAGAAAAAATTTTTTAAAATTTGAAAATTCGAAAAAATCAGAAATTTGAAATGTATTAAAAAACTGGATTATCGAGAAGACGGACAAAAATCGCTTATAGGGAGATAAGCCAATCGATGCCTTTGGGCCTGAGGAAACAAAAAGTTAATAACCCCATGCGATTTTTGTCCATCTTGGCGTTTTGGCGATTTTTCGAAAAGGTAAAATTAACATGGGCTGCTTGTGTAGACAGCAGTAAATTATTCTGTGTTCCCACGTGGCCGGGAACATTGACGAAGCATAAGTTGTGTGGTATTCTCATATCAAAGAGAAGAAAATACATGGTCAGGCAGCCACCACCAGCGAGCAGGGTTTAAACTCCGTTTCAAGCTGTCTGAGTTCACCGCCTTGAGGACATTACATTATATTACCCGAATGAGCCGAATTATTTTATTATTTGACACCACTTATTTTTATTTTGGCGTTTAAATTATTCAATTTCGTGTGATCTCTACGCCAGAATTAAAATAAGTGGTGTCAAATAATAAAATAATTCGGCTCATTCGGGTAATGTAATGTAATGTCTTTAAGGCGGTGAACTCAGGAGGGGAGCTTGCGAGGTTGATAATAACAGATCTTGATGCCCTTTGGATATGTAGTAGGGACCAATGAGTGTACTAAAACCCTGAAGTGGTTTGACTCCATGGCCACATTTGCGCCCGCCACACCCACTCAAAAATGCCCAAAAAACGCTTTTACTCCAGTTTTCACTCACTCAAATCCACGCCAAAAATCCAATTTTACTCGGATTTTGAAATTTCTTTCACCATTATACTCCCAGATAGTTGCTTTCTTCAATCCAATATCAAACTCAATTCTTTCGAAATTTTGAGTATTTTTAAAATTTAAAATTCTGAATGAGCATTGTTGTAGTAATCAACAAAACAAATTATTTTTGCGAAATAATCATCAGTAAAATTGAGTTTGATATTGGATTGAAGAAAGCAACTATCTGGGAGTATAATGGTGAAAGAAATTTCAAAATCCGAGTAAAATTGGATTTTTGGCGTGGATTTGAGTGAGTGAAAACTGGAGTAAAAGCGTTTTTTGGGCATTTTTGAGTGGGTGTGGCGGGCGCAAATGTGGCCATGGAGTCAAACCACTTCAGGGGAGGAATTCAATTGTAATTTGCGCAATGCTTAAGCTTAGATTTTGAATCAAAATTTATGCTTACGCCTTGCGCAAAGTACAATTGAATTCCTCCCCAGGGTTTTAGTACACTCATTGGTCCCTACTACATATCCAAAGGGCATCAAGATCTGTTATTATCAACCTCGCAAGCTCCCCTCCTCAGACAGCTTGAAACGGAGTTTAGCACCTCTATTTTCTGGGACTCGATCAAACGTGTTGCTTACAAATGGAATCAGCCTTTAGATAAACGTTTTTAGTTGTATGATTATTTGATATACATATATTTGTAACGGGTATTCATAGTTTTAAGCGAATAAGAAGGGTGAAACGCTTATGGAAATATCCCAGTTAAAAAATTGAACTTCGAGTTACTATATACATTTGTTAATAAAGTTTAAATTTTGTCGCATGCCTAGGGGCCCCCGAAAGGTAGTTGCGCCACTGGGTAGAATGCATATTTCCATGCAGGTTTGTTTACACGGTTGACGATGCTGCATTTCATAATGCATTAAGGGCCGTACATAGAGCATGTGATCGATCTTTGGAGAATTTTGACCCCTACCCCCCGGTGTGACCTATACGTCCCATATTGTAATTCACATGGTAGGGATAGGATGCCTTTACCCTCCTCAAATTCATGACATGCTTTCTGCACAGTCCCACGACGAGTTGCCCGTTTGTTCATGGTGGCGTTGAGAAATGTGAGACGCGGGAGGAAGCAGAACCTACCGAGCCGACTTTTTCCCTCGGCTGCAGCTGACGTGCAAATGTGTGCTCATTATTTGCTCCGCCAGAAATTTATAATTTGTTCCCGTGGAAATTAATTTTGTACAATATTCTACTAAATAGTTAGTCAACTTTGGCAAGCAAACTATTTCTAGTGCGTGTAGGTAAGTAGGTTGATTTTTCTGTCTTTTAAATATTTTTGTAGCAAATTTAACTTCTTAAATTTGAATCGGATAATTGTAAATTGTCAATTAAATGAGTAAAATCCTTGGTTTTAAGTATTAAACACTTTTAATAAGGTTTTAATTGCGTTGAGCGAGGTGCTGCATGTAAGTTGACTGTTTTTTAGAATGTTTTTTGTCATAACTTCAATTTGAATCGGCTAATTGTCAAACGTGGAGAAAATAATTGGTTCTTGGGATAAATAAAATACAAGATTTAATTACAAAACAGGGCACAAATATGCTTTTTCTTAAATGGTGGGAAATTTATGTACAAAGTAAAACTCCGTAATTGAAATAGATAGAAAAATACGTAAATATTTATTAAACGCAATCGTTAACTATAAATTCAATTAGTTTATCAAGACGGGAGAAAGAAATCGAATCTTTTTGGGGAAGGAATTCGAAAACTTGGCGAAACATTGTAAAATTCACCCAGCTAAATTTTCCAGAAACATGACTTAATAATTTTTCAACGGAATGAAACGACAAAAATACAAAGCAAAATGCGAATTTCATTTTCATTCATTTTGTTTGAAAATTTGTGTTTTCAATTAGTATTTTATCAACCTCTTCTAATCAATTAACCACAAAACTCATTATAATTACAATTTCCTACCATTTCAGCTTCATCGCGATGGAGGAGACCAATTCTTTGGACCTTATAAACGAAGCGGATCAAGAATTAGCCGCCGCTATAGAAGCGTTAAAGCAGCAGGACGCACTACGAGACCAACATGAAGATAAGCCAAATGTACCGGAAAACGTTGAAGATAAGGCAAGCGAAATACGGGACCAAGGGCCCCCTCTTCTCCCCAAAGTGCTGCACATCTACCTCCAACGTCTCCCGGAAGATCTAATTCACACGGCGAGGGGTCGTCGCAAGCTGGTCCGCAATGCCAAAATCTCCTCCGGGGAGGAAGAAGAAATTATGGAGGAGAAGATAAGACCAGCTAAGCGACAGAGGACGGAGGCTCGACGGTACGGCGACCTTGTAGAACTTAAGACCAGCGAGAGCGACAGTGATATGGACGACGACAACGTCGCCAAGATCAATTTAAAGAGAAGAAAAGTTAAAAAGAAGGCAAGAAAGGCCAGAAAAATAATTGAGAGTGACGACGATGATGATGATGACAGCGACCAGAAGGATAAGAAGTCGAGGGGCAAGGTCAAGACCAAGGTGAGGGAAAACTCTTACAAATAATGACACCATTTTGAAAAATAAATGCACTCTTAATTTTATCTTCGAGAAAACTTAAAAAGATCCAGAATAACGTTAGTATTGATAACGGGTAAAATTGTATCTAGAATTCTGACCCTGGATTTAGTGTATCGAATTTTGAGTGCAAGTTGGTTTTCAAAACCGCATTTTTAAGAGTGCAGTTAAATTTGTAAATATTCTGCTTTTAGCGTAAAGATTATAGGAAAAATAGACACATTTTTAATCATTTCTCCTCTCTGCGAATTTATTTTAAAATTCTGCCCTACAAATTTGTGGTAAAGGTCGTTGTCAATTTTTTTTAATGTACACTCCAGATTTTCACACCGAAACTGACTTAAAAAGCTCACAGCTATTCCATTAATCAACTCTTTTGAGGCAAATTTATTTAAAATAAATTTCCAGAGCAGATAAATTATTAAAAATTGTGTTTATTTTATTGACCAGTCATCCAGTTTAACTAATTAGCTTTCTTAGCAATATGTATGTACGTAATTAATCGTTTCTTTAAAATATTTGTTTCCATTGTAGAAAGAAGACGACGATACGTATGACGAGGACGAGTCGGCTTCCTCCAACTCTTCCAACTCCTCCCACTGGTCTGGCACAGGGTACAAAAAGAAGAGGAAAGTCGACTTGCTTCCCTCCCCCCCAACCTCGTCCCCCTCATCGTCCGACTTTGAGATGTCCAGTAAGGCCAAGGCCGCAAAAAAGTTGAAGAAATCCAAGAAGAAGAAACGATCTCAATTTTTAAATGATGGGGTGGGAATAGAATGAATTTATAGCAAGTATTAATTATTATTGATGAATTAATTAATTACTGATTTAGGACGACTTTGAGGACATTAAGGACGGATTCGTCTCCCGGGAACGAGAAAGGCCGAAAAGGAACAGGAAGTCGAAGAAAAAGAGAAATTTAGCTGAATCCGGATCAGATAATGTAGAGTATATTTTTAGTTAACATATAACTCGATGAATCATCGTCAAAATTAACACATTTTTAATTATTCATCTGCTCTGGGAACTTATTTTAAAATTCTGAATGACAAATTTCCCGTCAATTAGTTGATTAATGGAATGGCGTCGAGTTTTGTAAGCCAGTTTCGATGAGTTCCAATTTTTCTGAAGATTTCCTCTCCTTCAAAAAGTGTCAAATTCTTGAGTACATTTTCAAAAAATTGGGAACAATCTATTCTACGAATTTGTCGGGCAGAATTTTAAGGTAAATCTCCAGAGAAGAGAAATGATTAAAAATGTGCTGGTTTTGACGATGCGTCATCGAGTCCTACATTAATGATTTATTTGTTAATTACGTAAATCTTAAATTTCTGTAAAATTTAGTTTCTTTAAAAATCTATTTCTTAAATTTCAGGAAAATGAAGAGGATTTCGAAGCCCCTTTCAAAAAGCAGGACGATGACGAAGATGACGGAAACTTGTCGGAATTGTCGCTGCCCGTATCGTCTGATGAGGAGGAAGAAGGGAAATTAGGCGACGAAGAATTCAAACTGGGGATGGACTCCTTCTCCCTGGAGGAGGAAGCCGATACGACAAATTGTGATAAGGATAAGGCGGAAGGTGATGATAAGAAGGAGAAAGGAAACCTGAAAGATAAGGAGGAATTGCCGGAAGAGGAGGTAAATTAAATTAACTCAATTTATGTACAGGTGCAAAATTTCCTATTTTTTGCTAATTTAGGCTCGCAAACGCCGCCTAGAATATATTCTGAAACGTTCCGAATTCTACACGAAAAAACTGACTGCGGGCGGCATTGGGGGACTAACTTCGGGGGGAAAGGCAGCCACAGCCAACTTAAATTCTACGGCAGGAAGGTAATTTGTTAGCTTAAAATGACTAATTAATTAATGTATGTAGGACTCGATAACTTGTGAGTGATAAGTTATTAGTAACATCGTTAAACCCACCACATTTTTAATCACTTGTCCGCTCTGGAAATACATTTTAAAATTCTGGACGACAAATTTGTGAGTTTATTAATGAAATGGCGACGAGTTTTTGGAGATAGTTTCAATAAGTTCCAATTCTTCTGAAGGATTCCTAAACTTGGGATCTTCTCTTTCAAAACGTGTCAAAAGTATATTTTTACAAAATTTGGCTGCGACAAATTTTTCGTCCAAAATTTATATAAATTCTGAGAGCAGAGAAATGATTAAAAATGTGCTAATTTTGACTTTAAAAACTCACCGTCATTCTATTAATCAACTAACTGAGGTCAAATTTGTCTTGAAAAATTTTAAAACAAACTCCCAAAGACTTCGGGAATTTGTTTTAAAATTTGGGTCTTAATTTTTCTGATTAGTTATCGAGTCTTGGGTTTCTTTAAAACCATGTATTTTACTTTTTAGCCGGCGCCGAACCCGTGTGAAAAAGGACGACGCTGACCTCTACCTCATGGAATCCATTACCTCCTCCTCCTCCAAAGGTCCCGTCATATTCGACTCCTCCCCCGGCTTCATCGCAGGCGGAGAGATGCGCGACTACCAAGTCCGAGGACTAAATTGGCTCGTGAACCTGTACGAAAACGGTATTAATGGAATCCTCGCGGATGAGATGGGGTTGGGAAAAACGCTTCAAAGTATTTCCGTCCTGGGTTATCTGAAGCATGTCAAGGGGCTTAAGTACCATGCGCTTATCATCGTCCCCAAAAGTACGCTGAGCAATTGGATGAACGAGTTCAAACGGTGGTGCCCCACGATAAGAGCGTTGGCCATGATTGGAGATAAGGTATCGAGGCAGAAACTGATTAAGGAGGGGTTAAAAAAGCTGCAAAATTGGGACGTGCTTGTAACAACGTATGAAATGGTGCTGATGGAAAAGGCTGTGTTAAAAAAGGTAGGAAATTTTGGAAATTCTATTTTTGAAATTCTCATCAAATTTTTACAATTCGTAATAATAAATTCAAACTTTAACACTGTTTTGTTAAGGTAGGACTCCGTGGCTCGTTACCAAAATCAGCACATTTCTATTCATTTCCCCGTTCTGGGAATTTACTTTAAAATTCAAATTTATTGGCAGGGAAGTGCCAATTTCTTTAAATATACACTTCAGATTTTGGTAGATTGTGAAGGAATAGATCTCAAGTTTATTCGATCCTGGCTTAAAAAAAATTCTTAACTCTTTAAAACTGTTACGAATTTTAAAATAAATTTCCAAAGCCGAGGAATGATTAAAAATTATGACGATTTTTGGTGACGAGTCAATAAGTCCTAGGTTAAACATGGTCTAAAATTGGTATTTAAAAATTTAACTGCATCATGATAACCTTATTTCGAATTTTGTTTAGATTCATTGGGGCTACCTCATAATCGACGAGGCCCACCGGATCAAGAACGAGCAGTCCCTGCTGGCCAAGGTCGTCCGAACGCTGCGGTCCCGCCACCGCCTCCTCCTGACCGGAACTCCCCTGCAAAACAACCTCCACGAGCTGTGGGCCCTGCTCAACTTCCTGCTTCCGGAAGCCTTCTCTTCCGCAGAAGATTTTTCCTCGTGGTTCGCCGAGGACGAAATCGGCGCCGAGAGCGAGGGGCTCGTCAAGCGGCTGCATACCATCCTCCGCCCCTTCCTCTTAAGGAGACTAAAGTCCGAAGTGGAAAAAGGACTTCCGCCAAAGATCGAGAAGAAGGTGTATGTAGGCCTGTCCCAAATGCAGCATCAGTGTTACAGGGACATCCTCCTAAATCAGTTCAACGTGGTGAGTTAAGAGATAGTTTTATGTAAATCGCAATAGTTTGTTTGTCTGTCTGATGACAGAATATTTAAAGAATTTTTTAGTGTGTCTACTCAGGTCAACGTTGTATGTATATCTGGGAAATTGGGGATAGCATTGCGAGAAAACTTGCGAGATTTCGCATTACTTTTGCTACAAAAGCATGTATTTTTTTCGCAAATTTACGATTTTATTTCGCAAGATTAATTCCCAACCTCTTTTAATCGCTAGAAATTGTAAATAATTCATCGGAACCAATTTATTTGGCACAACTGGTTGTACAGATTTGCGAAATCATATTTTACGATTCCCCTCGCGACACTAATTTCGCAATTTTTCTTAATTATGTAGTTGCAATGCAAAATATTTAACAAGTTGATGTGAGTACGCCCAGAGTTTAGTCACTTATATTAGAGAGCGAAATTAATTACCAAGCCTGTCTTGAATTAACGTGACGTATCATAAGTTTAGATGAATTATGCAAAAGTAAATTTCGATAATTTGAATAGATATCATGTCAAAATTAAATTCTTAAGTGGTCAACATTATCTTTAATTATCTAATTTTTCGTTTTTTTTCTCCCCTAGTTAAATTCCGAGGGAAAAATGAGCCACCAAAGGCTCGCCAATATCGTCATACAACTCCGGAAATGCTGCAACCACCCGTACCTCTTCCGCGGTCAGGAGCCTGGTCCTCCCTACACGTGCGAACCCCACCTTTTCACGAACTGCGGAAAAATGCTGGTGATGGACAAACTCCTGGAGAAACTGAAGCAGGAGGGAAGCCGCGTCCTCCTCTTTTCATCGATGGCCCGCATGCTGGACATTTTGGAGGACTACTGCTTCCTCAAAAAAATTAAGTACCACCGACTCGATGGATCGACAGAGTATACCGAAAGACAGAAGATGATTGATGAGTTTAACAGTCCAGGTGAAGAGAAGGAAATTCTTTCAATTATTTATGAACAGAGCACAGTGGTCTGGAATATTGAATTTCTTGTCCAAAGCCTATTCTCTCCGATTCGAAAACCAATTACCCTCTTCAGTACCTTTGACATAGATGTTCAATTGTGGAAAGTTTCATTGGAATTGGCCGAGCGGTTATGACGTGGCATATGCCTAAAGTTGGCTTATAACATTGGATTAAATGGGAAAAACTTCAAGTTGAAAATCCTGTCTAGTCCTGTGCAATTTCGAGAAACCGTAAATACATTATTAATCCCCTATATCTCATCTACTAAAACTGCTGCAACCAGCTGCCACCATTACAAATAGGCAGAGAGATTTGAATGTATGTAATTGAAAATTGCCATACGCAAAATATCTGGAATGCTCCAATCATTGTCACGTATGAAATTTTCGAGTGTTCCAAATAACACAATCGCTCCAAAATATGTTGCCCATTCCTTGGGGAAGGAAATACGATAAAACACACCCCTCGAAAAAAATTATTACGAGCGGGGGAATTTTATGAATTGGTGACCCCCTGAGGAGGCGTAACTAAGTTTACAATTTTGGTCCTATTTTCTTTGTTAATGTCTTTAGAGGGCAAAAATATTTAATAAAACTATAGAATATTGTCATTTCATGAATATACATCCTCAAAATTATCGAAAAAAAACTTTCAAATTTGTATTTTGACCACACCCACTGGCTGTGGGTGTGCCGATATTGTCCCAATAATAGCCGGAGTTGTTTAGAGCTTGATTAGACCTTTCAAATGACACCCCACTTGATGGGGTAATGCGAGAAAATAAATATCGACCTGTTACCACACCCCCAAAGGGGTGTGGTTTCAATGAAAGTTGCATAACTTATATCCCTTGGAACTTCATATCTCGATTCCCGAAGACAGAAATCGAAGAAATTCAATTGTTCGAGAGTTATAGGTTTTGGCAAACAAATAAAGCAATCCAGACCAGTGTGCAGAGGGCGGATGTGGATTGATTCTCTAATTTTTAATTGGATGACGACCAACAGTAAAATTTTGTAGGTGTGTTCCCTAACTGGGACAGGTAGCCAAAATTTCAAAAAAATCGTATATTGTAAAATTTTGCTAGGTTTTCGCAAATCGTAACTATTATGCAAATACTTTACAAGGAAATTTTTACAACGTTACAGTCAATACAATTTTCGTAAATACATAGCCGCCCTCTGATTATCATCATAACCGTTCACATTCATTTATTCAGTAGAAAATGAATAAATTATTCAGTCATTATTATTCAGTAAATTTGTGAATAAGAAGTGAATGATTTTTTAACAATGAATACTAAGTAATTACTTGTTTTCAAATTTTGTAGTGAATTGATAATGAATAAGTTTTTTAATTTTTATATTGAATGAATTTTAAATGAATAAATATTTTGTGAACAGGTATCGAAATCATGTGTAATTAATTCGGTTTGGTTTTTTATTTTAGGGAGCGAGACGTTCCTCTTCATGCTGACGACGAGGGCGGGCGGTCTCGGAATCAATTTGGCTTCGGCGGATTGTGTCGTAATCTACGATTCTGACTGGAATCCAATGGTGGACCTGCAGGCGATGGACAGAGCGCACAGGATCGGACAGACGAAGGAAGTCCGCGTTTTCCGACTGATAACGGAGGACTCCGTGGAAGAGCGGATCGTGCAAAGGGCCGCACTCAAGTTAAAGTTGGACAATGTAAGAAAATTATAAAATTTTGAAATTTAATTGATTTCGAGGTTTGACATTTACTAAGGGGTGAAACAAAGTGAAACCTCTTTATGGAAATGTACTCTCCGTCCGTCTGATTCTATCCACGATAAGTTTAGAACAAATGCGAGACAACTTATCTCATTTGGTGCCACCTTATTTCGTTTGCTACAATTTAGTTAGGGATGCAAATGACAAAATTTAAAAAATCCAAATTTATTCATTGACATTAACGAAATTATTGAGTTTGACACTTGACAGTTTTCCAAAGAAATATTACGTCTTTAATTAAAAAATCTACTTACTTATTTTTTCAGGTCGTCATCCAACAAGGCCGTATCGTCGACAAATCCCAAAACGTCCTCTCCTCCGCCGATCTCTTATCTTGGATCAGACACAGTGCTAAATCCATCTTATCGTCCGACGGAGTAGAAACCATTGCGGACGAGACGATCCAAGAGATCCTCTCAAAATCAGAAGCCAAGTCGGGCAAGGTGGACGAGGCCATCAACGCCCTGCCCGAAAGCAAGTTGGCCACCTTCACCATCGATTCGCAGGAAGAGGAAAAGGACTTTTTCGACTTTGGCGGCGAGAATTTCCGGCGGGTGAGGGAGGAACACAGGCGGAAACAGAGGGAAGCCAAAACAACTTCCGGGTATTTCGATGTAGACGAAAACGTCACCGGAAGTCAGCGGGCCAGCAAGAAGAAGGCGCTTAAAACGATTAAAGAAAAATCCAAAGAGATAACAAAGGATCGTGATAAGAAGAGTCGCACAACTAAGGTATTTTATTTGGATGGAATCGCTAAAATTGGCATGTTTTTAAGAATTTCGTTCTGCTCTGGGAATTCATTCTAAAATTCTGAAACGAGGTTTCAGTTTTTCGGAGTTTCCAGTTTTTTTTTAAATATCGTACACTCCAGATTTTGACGTTTTTTGAAGGAGATCTCAAGTTTAGGAAACCTTCAGAAAAATTGAAACTCATCGAAACAGGCTGAAAAAACTCAGCACATTTTTCATCTATCATTTTTCATTGACTAACAATTTGTCGTCCAGAATTTTAAAATAAGTTCCCAGAACAGAATGATTTAAATTGTGCAGATTTGTACATGCGGTAATCAATGAATTTAAGCAAGTTGCTATTTCCCATTAAAACTATACAACTTAAAAAAAGCATAATTGTAAATTTTTTATTTCTGAAATATTTTGTAAAATTTTATAATATTCTAATTTGATTTCATATCCAAAATTTAACTATTTTTGTTTTCATTTCCATTTTTCCAGGTGCCCAACGTGGACCCGGAGTCTTCTTCCTCATCTTCGGACGGGAATTACTCGGACAAGTACATGCGTGACAGCAACGACCTTGACGAAGACTGGACCCTAAACCCGGACGAGGTCAAGCGGGTAGAATCCGAGGAGGAGTGGGACACGGGTGAAATGAACGACGGGATTGTCGACCACCCCGTCACGGGGATGAGTCGTGGCTCCCGAAAGTCAAATTTGCCCACGGATCCCGAAGAAATCGCGAAAATGATGGCGGCCTCGTTCAACAAAGCTCCCGTCCCGAAAACCATCGCGGTGAAAAATAACTTTCACTCCATGCCGGACTCCGCCTTCAAAAGTTTGTACACGGAGGTGGACCCCCTCTTGAAAAGCATCATGTGCAAAATGTGTGGCCTCGTTATTCTCGGAACGGGCAATGTTGCAAGTATTAAGTTGTTCCGGGCGCATTTTAAGTAAGAATTTATGTACTTACAAGGGAACCTTTTTTCAAGCTACACCAGGATTTTCGAGCAATCTAGATAGTAAAAACGTCAAGCCAAAAATTTAAGATCGCGTGATACTTATTTTTGATTTTGTAGCGAGTTATGTTAAAAAGTCAGGTTAAAAAATTAGGACTCACGTGACACTTATCTTTCCGATGGATGACCCCTTTGTAGAACTATATTGACCGTAAAGTTCAATTTAAAGAAAACCAAGGCGGAGTGAGAGATTTGCTGCCCATATTTTTTTTTAATTGGTCATTTAACAGAAAGATAAATCCCACGTGACTCGTAATTTTAGGCTTATTAAAAATATGTAATTCGTTTGAAAAATCTTGTTGTTGTAGCTTGAAAAAAGGTTAAATTATTAGAATCTCCCAGCGTATGCTCTCCGATTTTGAGCAAATTAGTGACAATCGACCATAAATTTAATTGATTTGAAATTGGAGAAAGGTTAGAAAGTGCAAAATTTGTGAATTTTAAAACTATTATTTTCCTCTCTGGATGCAACTATTATTTTCCTCTTTGGATCCAAATATCTTTCCCAAACGTGCCCATAGGGAGGTCTTGTCTATTTCAAATTTCAATAATTTCATACTAATTAAATTTATGATCGAGTGGCACTAATTTGCTCAAAATCCGAGAACAATTAAGTTTTCTTTCGCTATTTAATTAAATAGGTATTTTAATCATGGTTTTCTTTTTAAATGTAGAGCACTACACTTTCTGCAAATAGGGCCCAAACCCGTCGCAAAGCTGATAAAGCCCAAGCTACCGAGGCCAATTCTTCCTGCTTTGCCGTCAACTTCACGTCCTTTGAATCTTCTGATGAACAATGGCCACATGGAGAAAGCAGTTAGGATGATGTTAGAAAAGAAGGGTCAACAGCAAGGTCAAGGTCAACAACCACCTGCCCCTAATCCCACCACCAAGTATAACAATTCCGCAGCATTGGCACGAATGCCGATCGACTTTTTCAAGCAGTACTACACCCCGCTTGACGGCGACGCGAGAAACTACTCCTCCGTCGAGTGCAAATTGTGTAAAAAGGTTTTGAAAGCGAATAACGCCCACACGTACAGCAGCCATTTCCGGTGAGTGGGTGGATTGACACTGTTAAAAATGAATTGAATTTTGTATGAATTTGGTATGAGAGTTTGAATTTGATATTAAGTAATTGAACCTATGTAAATCCACCGTAACGTTAGCGTATCTAGGACTCGATGGTAAAATCCTCAAAATCAGCAAATTTTTAATTATTTCTCCCCTCTGGGAATTTATTTTTAAAATTCTGAACGACAAATTTGTGGAGCTAATTTTTTTTGGAAGTACGCCTTTCAGATTTCACAGGTTATGAAGAAGATCTCAAGTTAAAGAAATCTTCAAGAAAATTTAAACTAGGTATATTAAAAGCTCGTCGCCATTCTAGTAATCAACTTTCTGAGAACAAATTTATTCAGAATTTTAAAATATGTTCTCAGAGCCAAAGAGATAGTATTAAAAATGTGAGGTTTTTGACGAGTAACCAAGATAAATAGTAAAATTTGCTCAAGATTTGGTGTAGTAAAGTTTTACTTAATATAGAAATCAGAGTAAATCTTCTAAAGGACCACATTATTTTTAAGAGTGTAAAATTTTTATTATTTTTTTAAAATTAGAATTATTTCTTAAACTAACTGTTTAATGTATTTTTATTTTAGGCGCAAACACAGCGACGTTGTCGTACCTGAATCATCCAACATATCGCAGATTGACGAGGACAACTTGGCAAACTTGTTGAATCTGGATGACCCGGATGATCCAGACCAAAGTCCGAAACCTCCTGCTCCTCGACAACCCCGAAAACAAAATCTCGTCCCCAGAATCAAATCAATTCCCCCCTCAGAACAACCATCATGTTCGGTCCTTAGTCAAAATAATAATGAGAATACTAGCGACATAGAAATTGTGGATGATGAAAAGGGAGAAAAAATCAAAATCAGGATCATAAATGAAGCAAAAATTGGAAAGATGGATGAAAGTGATGACAGTGAAGTGGAAATCTTGGGCGATGAAGATGAAGACGAATCAGAAAATACAGGAAAAGTCGAAAAAATGGATGATAGTGATATCAGCGAAGTCGAGATATTGCCGGACGAGGAAGAATCTAGTGAAAAAATAGGACAGACTTTCATAAGTTATCATGAGAAGTAAGAGGATTTAAAGTATTTTGAAAATTTCCAAAATTAAATAAGTAATTTCCATTGGAAATTACTTGTGCAATTTTATGAGTGAGAAAATTAAGAATGGAGTCTCTGAATGCTCTCCAATTTTGAGCAAATTAGTGTCAATCGATCAGAAATTAGGATGAAATTTGTGGAAAATTCGATCTGCAAATGGGCACGTTTAGCCGAGATATTTGCCTCCAAAAAGGTTGACAAATTTTACCCTTTCCAAATTTCCTGTGCATTTTCTCCTCTTCGGATGCGAATATGTGGGAGGTCGTGGCTTTTGCAAATTTCATATTAATTAAGGTTGTACTCGATTGACACTAATTTACTTAAAAATCGGAGAGCATAGGCTTAGACATCTCCCTTGTAAGTAACCATGTTTAATTTTATCCTTTACAGAAACCAGGTCCAGACTAAAACCACCACGAATAAGAATGAAATTCCTGGCCGACTTCGCGCCCGCGCTGACCCTGTCCCAACCAGAAGTCCGGCGAAATTTCCCACTTCCTGCAAAGCCGTGAACCGACTTTCCAAAACGGATTTAAAGCAATACTACAATCTCACCGAGGAGAAAAAATTCCGCTGCACCATCTGCGACGTGGAGGAAGACAACATTACGAAATTCAGGTGGCACTTGATGTAAGTTTTAATTAATCAGTTAATAATTTGGGTCAACCTCGCAAACGTCGTAATTCGCAAGTTTGCCATGTTTGGGAAATCAGCCTTTATAATTAAAATAGATGCAATGAGGTAAAAGAAATTAACATTCTTGAAAGTTTTTGTGAAAAAAAAGTTCACAACATAAACTATGCCCTGTTGCTGTGCATATTTTGCAAAAATACATTCACAAATGAAATTCCAACTCTGCAAATTTACGGAGATACTCCTTGCGAAGTAGGGGTTACTACGCTTACAAAGTGAATACCCCCAGTATTTCGAATTCTTAGTATTTGTATCATAAAGTAAGATGCGAAATTTTGTAAAAATTTTTCATTATTCCCTCACGTTACTAAGGTTGCGATTTTTGTTAAGCTTGATCCCTACTTTTTTTCTTGGTAATCTATTTTACAAAACGAAGGAATTAATGAAAATTAACTCAAGAATTATGTCAGTTACGCTAACTAAATAATTTATTTTATTTAATTGCAGGATCCACATTGAAAAGGTTGGCAGCAAAAGTAAAACCAAAAGTTCCTGCGAAAATCCTGCTTTATCTTTGCCGGAAGGGACGACACGCGCAGATGTGGATGTCATGGAGAGGGAGGAGCTTCTTCAATACGGCGACGTTCTCGAACCCAGTGGCGACTTCCGGTGCAACATCTGCTCCCTCGTGTTCAAGTGTCGGAGAGAGAGTGCAAAATTTAAGAAACATTTGAAGTAAATAGAATTCTGAAATATTTAGATAAGTTTAGATAAATTTGCACGGAGGTTTCGTAAAACTAATTACGACGGTTCATAAATACCTGTTCAAGTTCATTCATTTGATGACTTCTTATGATACTGAATGAAAATGAATTTCCTGCCATTTGAATCAAAACGAATGAAGGATTCCAAAGTTTTCGCTAATGTTTTTTCATATCGTAAAACTAAAGCTACGACGGTTCATTTCATATATACCTGTTCAGTTTCATTCATTTGACTTCTTACGATAAATACTGAATGAAAATGAATTTCCTGTGATTTGAATGCAAATGAGTAAAAGATTCCGTTCCGTCATTTCAGATGAATGAATGTGAATGAATGATTCACTCCTTTCATGTCTCACGCTATGCTTACGACATGGGCGAAGTGTATAAGAAATGAAGTCAAATGAAGTGTGAAATGAAATGAATTTGAACGAAAATATCTGAATATGAATGAAAATCTTTTCCCTCAGAACTCGGGATGACTGATTTTTGAAAACTAAATTTTTGAACTGGGATGAATTTATTGACATAATTCATTTTATTTATTGAAGGAGCCACGTTGGAGACCAAGCCGAAAGTTCGGACGACGAAGATCCTGGGGCGATAACACCCCTATTAACCTTACCGGAGGGGACGACACTCTCAGACGTGAATGCCATGGAGAGGGAGGATCTTCTTCAATATTGCGAATATCTCGAACCCCAGGGCGATTTCCGGTGCAAACTTTGCTCCGCGCGGTTAAAGGGTCGCAACAACATTTCAAAGTTTAGGATACATTTACGGTAAGCTGAATTGCTTATGTATGAAATGTGCAGAAATTCTGTCTGTCCATTAAATTTAGACCCTCTTTTTTCTTCTGCAGAATTGAGTTTGTATCTAATTATAAAATACACACCAGTACATTCTTTGCGAGATTATTCAATTAAAAGTCGTAGAGTTCCACTGGATTACATTAGCCGAATAATTACATTATTTTACACCACTTTATTTTTATTTCGGCGTACAACTTATATTCAACTTGGTGTCTATTTAGAAATTGAATGATTTTTAATTGCTAAATTATGTAATTATTTGGCTAATCATTAAGGGCAGGAACAGCGTAAATATGTAAATATGCAAAATGTGTACTGTGCAAATATTAATTATTGAAATGAAGTTTCACAATAGAGGACTTTTTTTTGCTATGGACCCCCTGAAACATTTGTATTTAAATTTTGATAAATGATAACACTAGCTAGTGAAGTACGTCCAAACAATGCAGAAAATGGGTGCTAAAAAAATCCACATGTCAAGGGTACCTCTGAGGGACCCATAATACCTTTTACACATATCCCTTCATTGTGGGCCAACCAGATGTCGTAAAAATACGGGGTTTGGATATTTTGTATCTACATGCGATTGTCTAAAACGAACTTCAATAAGGAGCCGCTACGTGACCTTTTTGACCTAAAGTTTGACCTTTTAAATTTACATGTATTGCGATAAAATTGGCATGCTAATAAACTGTAAAACTTAATTTTTATAGAGGTCAAACTTTATTTCAAAAAGGTCACGTAGCGGCTCCTTACTGAAGTTCGTTTTAGACAATCGCATGTAGATAAAAAATATCCAAACCCCGTATTTTTACGACATCTGGTTGGCCCACAATGAAGGGATATGTGTAAAAGGTATTATGGGTCCCTCAGAGGTACCCTTGACATGTGGATTTTTTTAGCACCCATTTTCTGCATTGTTTGGACGTACTTCACTAGCTAGTGTTATCATTTATCAAAATTTAAATACAAATGTTTCAGGGGGTCCATTGCAAAAAAAAGTCCTCAATAGTTTTTATACTATTTAATTGCAGGAGCCACATTGCAAAGGTTTCTGCTGTGATAACGCCCGCTTCCTCCTTGCCGGAAGGGATCACCGTCGAAGACGTGGATGACATGGATAGGGAGGATCTTCTTCAATACGGAGATATTCTCGAACCCAGTGGCGACTTCCGGTGCCACCTTTGCACCCTCGTGTTAAAGTGTTGGGGAAACATTTCCAAATTTAGGCGACATTTGCGGTAGGTGGAATTTTGAAATACTTTTTTAATGCTTTTCGATTATATGTATGAGCAGAGGGCGGATATGTAAAGGGTGTTAATAAAGTCCGATCCCATGCATTTTTTGGAGCGTGGTTGTTACAAATTCAGCTGGAACTTTTGAACCAGTGAAGTTATTTATTTCAAATTTTTACCATGGGAGGAACAACTAAACGTGTAAGTCATGAGCATCTTAGAGTTGAGATACAAACATTGCATCAGCAGGGGCTTAAACCTACAGAAATTGTGCAAAAATTGGGCTGCAGCCGCAGAACTGTTTGGAAATGGAAGAATAAAAATTTTGTCCACGACAAAAAGCGACCAGGGCGACCCAGAAAGGTGTCACCTACCACAAAAAGAATGATTAAAAACAGACTTTGCAAGAAAACCGGTAGTTCATTACGTAATTGAGCAAGGGAGTTAAGTGACTCAAAACGCTATAAAGAGAAGAAGAAGCAAATTAACTGTGTGACCGTGCAAAAATTTGTGAAAACTACGAAGTGGGGTCACACAGCTTACAAACTAACCAAAAAAACCTCTCATGTCACAAAAATATATCGATGACCGTCTGAAATTTGAAGAACTCCTTCAGAAAAGTGCCCATTTGAGTGAAAAAAGACTTGGTGAAGAATTGCGCAGTCACATCCTTTGGACTGACGAATCTATTATTGAACTATATCCAAAATTGAACCAACAAAATGTTCGTTACAGGACAGAAAACAAATCGGATGTACCATCAAGAGCGATCCCAAAATTCGGGCTTAAAGTTATGGTAGCGGGTGGATTTTGTGCACGTTGCGTGACCCCTCTACATATCATACCAAAAGGCCAATCAGTCAATGCAAAGCATTATATGGAAAAAATATTACCTATCTATTTCGATAGCATGGGGAACAAGGAAATATTTCCGAATGAAAGAAAAATAGTTTTCATGCAGGATGGTGCTATAGCCCATACAGCAAAAGCGAGTTTGAGTCTCATCAAGACGCAAGTTTCAACGGTCTGGAGCAAGGGGGTGTGGGCCGCTAACGGCCCAGATTTGAATCCCCTGAAGAACCAGTGGTCCATACTTAAGGAAAATGTATACAAAGAGCCACAACCCCGGACGAGGGAAGAGCTAGTAAAAAAAAGTTCAAGATGTATGGAATTCGATTTCCAGAGGCACATTGGAAAAATTAGCACAGAGCCTTAAACAAAGAGTTGAGGGCATGGTTAAAGTAAATGGTAACAAGACCAAATACTAAGGTAAATATGTCGAACATTTTTTGTAAGTATCACGGGTAGTTTTTTTTATACTAGCCTTCACTTTTTTACAGGAAAAATGGGATCGGACTTTATTAACACCCTGTATTTATCTACTTTCAACTTTTTCACTGACCGATGGTCAAATTTCGCATTTAGATTACAAAAATTTCTAAATATTTCAGAATTTTGTTAAATATTTGGAGGACATTTTATTCTTACTTAAAAAATTTCTAAATCTGTTAGATATTTTTTCAAAAATGTGTAGATATATTTTTCGTAAATATTTCGATGATGACAAGATTTTTTGTTTTCTTTAAAGAAATTTGGTCACAAAAAATCCAGAGAATTCAATGTAAAAACAAATTTTGTGAAAATGATTATTTTTTTCGTACATATATATTTCGTAAATATTCTGGCGTTAAATCGTCAATTATTAAATCTTGACCTTATTTTAAATAATTCGGAATTGGTAATGAATAATCCACATTTTTAATCGTTAACCTAATATTTATCTTTGTAACTAATTTGTTTAAACGTTCCTTCTGATTTCCAGAGCACACGTTGTGAATGGTGACACGTCCCCCATCAGAGCTCTGAAAATGTCCACCCCAAAATTAAACCTAACTTTACCACCGTCCTCCACATTTTTGACAATGGGAAACGACGAACTCCGTGAATTCTGCACCTTCCTCCCCAACGGAAATATCAGCTGTAACATCTGCAAAATCAAATTACGGGCTCAATCAAACATCTCCAAGTTCAAGAGACACCTTTTGTAAGTAATTAATTATTACATTCTTTTTAAGTTTACACTCTTAAAAATAATGTCACCCATTTAGAAAAGGAAGGAAATGTACACTAAATTATGCATAAACTTTACTAAATCCAGAGTAAACTTTGCTCTTTTATCAAGTTAACGGTACTCTGGATTTAGTATAGTTTACTTAATATAAAATTCAGGGTACATTTACTTTACAAAAGGGGAACATCATTTTTAAGAGTGTAATCTATTATTGGGGAACGTTCATAAAATACGTGACGGAAAATTGTCGATTTTTTTAACGGATTACGCCCCCTTTTTGACACGTGGATCAAGTTTAAGTACATTAAATCGAACAGCTCGACCTCTTCTGCTACATCACGTCTTTTTTGAACGCACCCTTCATGGAAGAGATAAATAATTTATTGTAATTGTTGTTTTTACACAGTTCTACTCACAACACGAACACCGTGGAGGATTTAATCACGATTGGTGACGATGACGACGACGATGACGAGCAGGACGTAAAAATGGAAGAGGAGGATGTAAAAGAAGAAGATGATGATGAAGAAGCTGGGTTTTTTCTTGGCGAGGAAATAGTTCCGGACGCTTCTTCGGATAAAGATTGTATTATTTCCCCCATGGATGGAAGTGAGAGGGGCGAAGAAGATAAGGCAGAAGAATCTGAGGCTGACGAGGTGGAAATACTTCCTGACGGGGAGGAGTCAAATGAAGATTGTGGAAGTGATGAGGGGGAGGAAGAAGATAAAGCAGAATCGGAAGAGGAGGAGGACTGAATAGTCGTCAGATTTATAATGCAAAATTTTATACGGAAACTAAAATATTTATGAATTGCAAATAATAATCAAATTATGTATTGGCAAAAAAGTTGTATCTTCGTAATAAATATGTGACAAAGGGTATTTTTAAGTTGTGTTTTTTTACAAGGGACAAATTAAGGACAAGTTGAACGGTCAAAGGTCACCACCGGTGCACCAAATGTCGTAAATATGCAATACGATACGCATAATTTGAAAACTCCAAATGCGTATTAAAATTTAAAATTATAATTTACATACCTATTTCAAATTGAATTATGTAAATTTGTTTTCAAGCTAGACAGACGTGACACCGTTATTTAAAAATTGCACACTTTACTCATGTAAATATTGGATTTTATTTAAAATTTTAAAAATCCAATAATTTTTAAAATATACACGTGTTTTGTTTTTGGAAATATGTAAATCATCTTCAAATTTTCACTTCCACAGTTCCACGTATAAACTTGATTCAATTATTCCATTTAAATTAACCAATTTTAGTCAAGGACAGGACCACGTTTTCTGGCCGGGCTGTCGTCATTGATGCGGGTATCCTCATTGGCACCAGGGTTTCCGGGGTGGCGGCAAGTTCAAAATTTTGAACGATGTGACACACCCCCAATTTTACTTCTAACAGGGCAATCCGCATTCCTGTCAATTACATACATACATATTTAAATATTATCTTGCTAGTATTTAATGATTTGCTGGAATAACTGATACGAAATTTATTTTCATTAGGGGACATTCATAAATTATGTGTATGTAAAAATCGCGATTTTCTAGACCCCCTACCCGGTTTAATATGAGTCATATAGGTCGCATTGCATAATTTATGAACGACCCCTCACGACACTCCTTAAAAATATTTAATGTAAACCTTTCCATTCATGTTATACGAGACCGTATAACAAAATTCGATTTCTGCTGCTTTATTCCCGGAAAAGGGGGAAAGTAAATTCCGAAAACTTCACCCCCCCCCCCCCCCAAAAAAAAATAGACCCTAAAAATGCTCGACAATACCCTAAAACTTTCAAAATTTCCTAAGAATATTAGATATTGCCGGAAACCTTTAAATACTTTCCTAAATAGGTAGAAATTATCGGGAAGCTATTTGTTAAAAATGACAGAAATTGTCCGGAAACTTTCAAAATTTTCTAAAAATGTTCGGAAACTTTCCCAGCATAAGTTTGCATCACAAATCCAACCCACTTACGAAACCATTGTGCCTCACCTATGCACATCCTGACCCCGTGGCCGAAGGGGAAATACGCAAATTCCGTGGTGCTCCGATTTTCCGTGGAAAATCGGTCCGGATCAAAAACGTCGGGATTCGGGTGATACTCTTCGTCCCGCTGAAACCCGTGGATCGAAAGGATCACGCTGTCTCCCGGCCGCAGGATGACTTTACTGTTCGGAACAGCGTATTCCTGGATACACACGCGCGGCACCATTCCCAAGGGAGGGTACATTCTCAACGTTTCTGAAAAATAAGTTTAGAATTAAGAATTTAAAACGTTTGCCGAATTAAAAAAAATTGTACACAGGGTTTCGATTGGTAAAAAAACATGGGAACAGAAACTTTTAGCAGTTTTTTCTATACCACCACCAGAACTACTGGTAAAATCGAAAATTTTATTTAGGGCGATTCGAACAAACACTTCAAAACTTTTAAAATTTCACTTCATATCCATTAAATTCTTAGAAAATAAGGTGAAAATATCAAAATTCCAATAATTTTCAAAATTAACAGGTTGAAAAGTACGTATGAAAAGAATCAAAACTGTTTCAATTTTTGGAGCAAATTGTTTCCCAATTTTTTAAAGAAATATATTCGTGGTATGTCAGGGGGCGTCCATAAATTACGTAACGTGAGAAAGGGGAGGGTGGTATCTAAGGCTCCAATGATACCGTGCCTACGTTGTAGAGGGGTCTGGAAAATCACGATTTTTGCGTTACGTAATTCATGGACGTCCCTTAACCACCATTGTTTCTGGGTACAAACTTGGCTTATTTATCTTAGATACTTACCATGGATAACCATGTCGAGATAGGTCATCCCACAAACCCCGTCATATGTGAATTCATCCCCCAGCACGTCCTTTATTTCGTCCCTCAATCTCCTCTGCACATTCGGATTCAGCGCCAATTCGTAGGCGCACATGGCCAAGACAACTTCCGTCGTTTCGTACCCAGTGAGCACCAAAGTGTACAAATTCGAGATTATAAAGTCCTTCTCATCCTCCTCCCGCCCATTCGCCCCCCGCCCAATCGCTTCCCGCCCAATCGCTCCCCGCCCATTCGCTCCCCGCCCAATCGCCTCCCGCCCGTACAACTCTTTATACGAGGAATGAATCAGATGGACAAAATCATTCAAATTTTTCTTTCCCGCCCCACCCTCACTTTGAATCTTGGCCTGGGCCACGTCCCCGTAAAAGGTGCCAATTTCTTTATCCATTATTGTAACCCGGAAATAGTTTGTTACCCGGGGTAACCACAGGATAAACATGGGTTTCACCCAGTCCGTAAATTTATCAAAGGAGGTATAAACCCTGTCAGAAATTTGTTCGAAACGTGACGGTTCCCGGGTTTTGAGGCAAACCGTGTCTAAATTCAGGGTAACGGAGGCCACCACGTCGAGCGAGTATTTATGGATGGGTAAATTCAAATCGCAAACCAAACTTCCCGCGGGGTCCATTTCGTGGTTGAAGTATTCTACTAGATTTCTGCCCACGTGGTTTATCTGGGCGAAATTGTGCTTGATTTTGCTCGGTGTGAAACCACGGTCAAATTTGGCGCGGGTTTTCTTCCAATGGTCGCCTTGCAGGTAGACGAGGGATTTTGAAATGATGTAATCCCCCGCGAAGGAGAGGGTGGATTCTGTCCGCTCAATTTGAGTAACGTCTTTGACCTTAGTTGTTCAAAAAATAATTCTTTATTGAAAATTAGACATTGGAAAAAATTATTCATTCATTATTCATTCTTTTATTAACTTAATCTTAAATTCCCCTTATTGCATGGATTTCTCAATGTGCCTCATGGATCAAGCATGCATTACAAAACATGAAAAATAAGAAATGAATAAAATTATTCATTCACTCTTCACCAAATTAAATGAGTAATTCAAAATTTTTATTACAAAATTTTGAAAAAATTATTCACTCATTCCTCACTCATTCAATGAATGAATAATTTATACATTCTTTTTCTTAGGTGAGGCTATGGTTACAGAAAAAAAACCTAAGTAAGCATTCCATGACAGTCTGAAAAGTGACCACAGGCCATTACTTTTTCATTTCTCAACCGATTTTGATCAAATAACCCAGAGTCATTTATGACGGTGCTTTATCATAATCGTTTTCTCTCGGTCCAGATTTCTGACCCCTTGTTTAGTTATTCAAGAAAAACCGTCACTAGGGTCACTTTCTGGTTTATTATAAAAATGTGGATGAGGTGATCATCGCCACTTGATTAAAATAATGTAACAAATTCATTTATCTTTCATCTAAAATTGGGATGAACAAAATCGGTTGAGAAATGAAAAAGTTTTCCCTTTGACACAAAAGTCATGCTGCATATGGTGGGAAGTAGTAGCTTAAGGGGACTGGTCACATGGCAATACTCACTCAATAACACTTTGGATTAATTGAAAAAACAACATAAAATCACTATTATGGTTTTCCTCTTCGATAAGAGATCATTACTGGCCGGCGTATGTTTTTACATGTCTGTATGACTCTGCCGGCATGGTATTAATGAGCATTACATTTCTGGTAATGTAAATTTACCACACAGAAACAACTTTATACGAATCCGGTATTAGTATCAAATTTATACCAGTATGGAGTATGTATCTACTTATATATGCCTCTACCCGATTTTTTACAGTGTGGTTAATTCATTTCGTTAATAACTAATTATCGTAATATTTTCAATTAAAAGCTTAAAATAAACTAAACCTTAAAAAGGATAACTTAGGTGAGACTGGGGTACATATGCGATTAAAAGGATGAAATAATCACCTCACTCCTCCCACACTGAAGAGAAGGTGTTGGTAAAATGAGCATCACCGCCTTAGGAATGATTTCTGAACTGTGTGCAAAAATAATAATAAGACGGATGATGTATCAAAATTTTGCATAAGCACATCCTAAAATTTGAAGGCTGATTAGTTGATTTTGGAGTGTGTATTCAGGAATATGAAATAATCCCCCACCCCCACCTACACTTTGGAAAACCACCACCAAATATCCTCCTTATTTTTCTTACCGAATATAGTTCATACTTACGTGGTACAATAACGCTGATAACAAATTAATATCTATGAGTCAGGAACAAACAATAGATTTGGAGTATTCGAATTTAATTTAATTGTCACACTATGCACTTACATATATGTAAGTGCATACTATCTGCTTAAAATATCATTTGTCTGTCATTCCCAGGGCGGTGATGCTCATTTTACCAACACCTTCTCTTCAGTGTGGGAGGAGTGAGGTGATTATTTCATCCTTTTAATCGCATATGTACCCCAGTCTCACCTAAGTTATCCTTTTTAAGGTTTAGTTTATAGAAATATGTAAATATGGACAGGAAGTTCCCTTACACAAATTTCCCGAATCAGGCCCGGATCCCGGGTAACGTAGTACGTCTTGTTGAACAGGGTAAACCCACCGAGATAACTTTTGTCCACTTTGAGGCGTTCGTACAAACCGGAAACGTACTGGGCTGGTCCGTTCCCCTTAAGAAATTCGGGCACAAAGGAACCCGGGACGTCGGAAAAGTAAAGGACGCCACAGGACGCCAAGTACTTTTCGACCGAGGGGTTTTTGAAAATCCAGGAGAGCAAGGTTATCAAGGGGAGGACGAGGTATAAGGCCAAAAATGTGTTTAACGCGCTGCGAGGAGGAGCGGGTTTGGACATTTTGAAAAATGAAATATTTTTCTGAAATATTTTTGAAATTTTTATTTATTTATCGACTTTACTACGTTGTTGCTCATTTTCTGAGCGTTATGGAGACCCCGAGGGTTTAACGTGATGTGAAATATTCCCGATTTAGGTAGGAAATTTCATCAGTATCGTATGTGATAAAAGTATGTACATAAATGGTACACTCTAAGAAATGCGGTGATAGATAGATTGATATTATTCTTGTCATCGTGGGTTGTTTGCTGTATTGGACGTGGTGTCCTTCTGGCATAGGTGTGCAGATTTGAAAAATCCGAAGCAGTTATATTTTTGGTCGGGCGCTGTAACTCGGCAACGCAAATTTTTGGTCGGAAGCGGAAGTACTGGAAATCGGAAGCGCATATTTCGGTCGGAAGCGGACACCTCAGGCGGAAGTTATAGTTCTGGAGTAGCATCGAGCTATGCAAATATGGTGGTTGATTATTTCCATGCGGTGACAAATCTGTAACCGAGCGGTGGCGTGTAATCAAATTGAGTCGCATGCAAATACCTCGTACATATTTATGTTGACACCGGTCGGTCATAATCCAGTGATAAATTTTCTTAGAGTGTTGATAGATAGATATACAAGTTATACAAATTCTGTTAAGATATATGTATGTACATAAAAGCCTGGGAATTTTGAGGCTGAGCTATGTATCTACGACATTTTCGAGTATCTCCAATGCCATCTCCAGTCTTACGTAATTGCGTAATTGAAAGTAAATACATATCGTTTCAAGACACGAACATGTACATATGTATGTATTTATTTTGTATCGGTTTGCATGCATGCAAAAAAGCATTTTAAAATGCATTTGCATTTTAAGCATGCTTAAAATCAATTCAAATTACTATGAATTTAAATGAAATGACAGGAATTATTTAATTATTGTGGGCTTAATTTAGCCCCTCTTCAGCTAAATCGTACCCTCTTTCCTTGACTTAATTAATACAGGATGAAAAAAGAATATTAATTCATTATTCAATAAATTTTTGAATAATGAATTAATAATTTTTTTTTAATTTTTGAATGAATGAATATCGAATCAAAATTTATTGACATCATAAGTATTTACATATGAAGAAGAAATGAATAGTTTTATTCATTTTTCATTTTTCACGCTGTACATGTACATATGTATGTGTATTGGGAAATCCAATTAATAAGGTACTTAAATTTGAGATGAGATGAAATGAATAATAAATGAATAATGAGTAAATATTATTTTCATATTTTAAATTAGTGAATATTGAATGAATAACATGTTCCAATTTTTAAATTGAAGTAACAAACGTTTGCTGAACTGGTAGGTAATTTTTCACACGCTTCCGTCTATAAAATGTTACAAATTAATTTTATTCCCACGTTCTGACTTTACGAAGAGAGCAAATTCCCTTCATGCAGAAATAAATATGTAAATAAATATGTACGCAAAGCTGTTTTACATGCCTATGTACATATTTACATAGGTACATACATACATAACCTTGATCCAGAGTTATCTCCAGAATTATATAATTCTGCAGAATGATTACGCAAAAGTAATAATTTTGCGTACAGAAATTTTCCACATCAATAAAATTTGCATAAATAAAGTCACATGTTAATACAACGTATTTATGTATGTATATATTTACATATTTATGAAATTCATGGAGATAACTTGTAATTGAACATATGCATATATTTTCTTCATCCTGTACAATTTATTTCGTATACTTATGTAAATATCTATGTATCTAAATATGAATATGAACACTCTTTGATCTAGGCATATATATATGCTGCCGTACATAAAGATGTGACCTATTTTTGGGGAATTTAGACCCTTACCCTCCGTACATACACCCCATCTTGTAATTAACCTGGGAAGGATAAGATGCCCTGACCCCCCTTCAAATAGATCACATGCTTTCTGCACAGTCCCTAACTTGATAAAGAGTGAAGTGTATTAAGTAGTACTCTGGAATTTGTACAGTGTACTTAATTTATAAATGTGAGTGAAATTATGTACTTAACACCAGGTAAAATTAATATTAAGAATCTATGTACATAGGCATGTGTATACAAACGAGTGTACACATGAAACTTTGTGAAAAATACGAACACATTGGTTGTGATATATGTACATACACATTACACAAGTTACCACGAGAAGTTATCACATTTGTAAAGCAGTTGAGGAAATGGGGTGAAGATTTGTAACCGGTTTTTAACCATTTGTGTCTAACCAACACGTGCATGCATGCAAACTAGTGTATAACTTTCCATTTCCACTAAAATGTATCAGCAATCTGTAATATGTAATATGTAATTCATCTCTGTCTACGATAGGAATCTACTTCCTTCCTGAATTAAAAAATCCTCTTCTTCATTACAGAAATGAATGAATTAGAATCGCATATTCGTTCAAATTACTTACGTAACGGAATTAAAGAAACCTGTCAACAGATGAAATCCATCAAATTTTTTGTGCCACAATTTTGGGAAGAAGAAGGTGCCACTAATTTGTTACCAATTCAGTTAGTCAGTCTCGTTCTTCTCTCCACTTTGGTGGAGGCAGATTTTCATTAAAGTTGGTAAAAATTTTGTGTGAATTTTAGAAATTAAAATTTTACAATTTTAGTTCAAAAATGAAAACGCATAATTTAGCCGTGTTGATATTTCTTGTAGGAATCAATTTCTCTGTAAGTGAGAGATACAGAAATTTTATACGGATTTTTATTAAAGAAATTTAATACGGGAGTTTTTAAAGAAATTTGACACGGATTTTATAAAAATAAATTTTGAAACATTTTTTTCAAATTTTGTACTTAAGGGGGCATACAGAATATTGAAGATTTCATGGGGCTGGCCAGAACATGAAGTAGATCATCATCATCATCACGACGATCACCATGACGATCACGATGATCATCACCACCACCACCACCCTCCCCCTGGACATCACCACCATCATCACCACGATAAAGGTCACCACCACCACCACCATCATAAGGGGCCACATCATCATCACCATCCCAAAGGGCACCACCACCACCACCACGCCAAGGGTCACCATCACGGCTGGGGCAAAGGTTGGAGTAAACCCAAGCAAAAAGTAATTCATAGGGAGCACATTCATAAAATCCACACGCATGTTCATCACATTCACAAGGTGGGTAAAAATGCATATTTAAGTAGCTACACTCTTAAAAATAATGCCAAACTTTTGTAAAGAAACCACAGGCTCAATCCTACATATATACATGTTATTAAATTCAGATTAACGTTAACTTGATAATGAGCAAATTGAGGTCGCTGATTATAAAATTCGGAGCTAATTTCCTTTACAAATGGTAGAATTATTTTTAAGAGTGTAAATCCAAAGTAAAGAGGTACCCTGCATAGGGAACGTCGCCAAATTATTGATGGGCATTAATTTCCGATAATTATTAATTATGGTGATTTACCATTGGTAAATGCACATAATAAGGAAATCACAGCAAAATATGATCAAAATTTGGACAAATTATTGGACACAAATTTGCCCCCGTTCTTTATGCACATTTATGAAGTCCAAAAATTATAAAAATTTCAAATTATTATTTTTCCCTTTTTCCAAAAAATAGCACAACCTGTACAAGCACACGATCCACAAGCACAACCAGCACAAACACATCCTGAACATTGTCAAGGCTCCGGAGCAAATCGTGCACTCGTACAATCAAGAGGTCGTCAAAGTGGTCCCGACCGAGGAGGAGGTCGTCAAGAAGATCCCCGTCCACCACGAGCAGTACCAAGTTTTTACCACGGAGGAACAAGCAGCCCCACAGGTTATCGACCATGGACACAAGCATTCGCATTATGACGGGACGATACAAGCCGCCGTGGTTGGAGGGGGGTGGGCCCCCGAGGAGGTCGAGTATGCGGGGTGGAGCAGTTAAATATGTAAATAATTGTGTATGTAAATTAGTTGTTAAAATGTGCGGCAAGGAAATAAACTACTTACCTTACAAAATACAAGATTAATTGGGTAAATGATTATGTAAATTATTCCAATTATGTAAATTTCATAAATTATGTAATGCGAAAGAGGAGAAGGGAGTCTAATAAGTTTCCAATGATATCGTGCTTACGCAACACATGCTAAAGGGAGCCGTGGGGTTCTAAAAAATGGTGATTTTTTAATTACATGATTTATGAACGGCCCCTGATTATTGATCATTGCACGGAAATTATCAAATTCAAATTCACATTTTGTTTTTTTAAATTCAAACTTTTAATAATACGACAAAATCTTTGCATATATTTTTCAAATACCTATTTCAATTTATTCAAAAGCTATTATCGTCAATACATTGTCAACCATTGTCGGGAATGTTAAATATTTGTAAATGGAGCCTTATTTTTTTCAAGATCCACACGCCTAATTGGAAAATGCACGTGTTAATATCAAGTTAGTTTAACTTTATGTGAAAATTCATAGTAATTTTGGCCCCGTTTTAATCTCAACCTGGCTAATCTCACACTTTAGTCGCCGGCATCTTCACTAACTCAGTACCAATTTCTGAGAAGATTTAAAACCAATTTATATCTCACACTAAAATCCAAAAAAAAAGTAAATTTTGGGTAATATGAGTAGGGAGTTGAAATTATTACGAAATTAAGGACCAATCTAGGACAGCCGTAAAAAGTTCTTTTATCCCTAATTTAAGGATTTCAGTCTCGGGTTTTTAAAATTGCCGCCATGCTTTCGAACTCATTATAACTTGATAAATCAAGTTTGTATTATGCCCGTGACAAGTAATTTATGAGATGGGGCGAGTTGAGATTTAAAAAAACGGGGCAAAAATCCGTTTGAATTATTGCATAAAGAAAAACTGAATTGATATTAATTAATCAGCACCTTAGTCATCGTCGCCATACTCCGATTCATCGTAGTCCATCCCACTTCCCTGAAATAAGTCTTCCACATTTTCCAAGCCGTCCCGAATCGCCCCCAAACTCCGGGCGGCGCTATATTCAAAAATTCCAATCACGTTCTGGCTGATTCCTTCGGCAAGGTTGTTGTACAGGTTGCAGGGATCCATGACCAGCGGGGTCTGCTCCCAGACCTCGTCCGGGACGGACAATCGGCGGTAATGATGACCAAAAAATATTCGTAGGTTGGAAAAGTCCTAAAAATTTGGGAGATTTGTAAAAAAAATAGTAAATTATTTTGCAAAGTAAGAAAGTTTTAATTATTTTTCTTCCTGTTCAAATTCATTCATTCAATAAAGAATTCATAAATTGTTCATATTCATTATTGAATAAATTCATAAATTAATGAGTGAATAATCTTTTTCATAATATTAATTGAATGAATATTTATTCATTTAATTCATATTCATGAAGAAGGGTTGAATAATTAATTTCTCTGCTTAATAAACGGGTATTTTGAGAAACCCATCTAATATGAAGAATTTAAAGATGAAATGAATAAAAAATGAATGAATATTTATACTCATATTTTGAATAAATAAATCGTGAATAATTTGTTCCAATTCTTAAATTGAACGAATTTTGAATGATGGAATAGCTTTTGAAGGGTAATATGAATATTTTGAAGGAATGTGTACAAGTTTTTAATAATTTTAATTTTTTTACCTCCATTTCGCGCAAGAATCGCACAAATCTGGTGAACAGGTTACAAGCCGGCTGTCCCTTTTGCGCCCAGCAAGCCACTAGTTCAATCATGTAGCTCCGCCCCTTGACGTATTCGTCAATCTCGATCTGCTGATTCCAGTAGCGCGCAAGCTTGATGACTTTGACGATGTCGTCCGGCTTGTTTTTCATGAAAAGGATCGTCTGCTCGGCCAGGCTGGAGGAGAAGGCGGACGGGTTCGCAAAATCCTGCATGCGACGCCGAACCTCGATCGCTTGTTCTCTCGCCATGTCTTCGGCATGTCTGTAATAAAAAAACGGAGAAATTTGTATTTTGGCAAAAATTCGTTTTTTACGAATATGGTACAAAAATTTTGCACTTATTTTCTTCAAATCTAGTAATATAATTTTGCAAATTTTAGAAAAAATAGAAACACTGAGAAGTATGTAATTAATTAGGTAATTTTCCTCTTAAATATTTCAAAAATTGTGTACCACACTGCATTTTTTCTTTTGTTTTAAAAAACAAAATATGATAAAAAATGTAGCCTGGTAAAATCTTGTAAACTTCCCTCGATCGAAAAATTGATTTTCCCCGGCAATCTTCGAATGTTCCCGAGAATTTTGGGAAATTTTCAAAGAATTGATGAACATTCCCGGGAGTTTTCGAACCTGTTCTATTTTAACCCATCCAAAAAAAGTTTGCTTAAAAGTTTCACAACGGCAGGATAAATTTTATCAATTGTGTTGTCATCATCCAGTTTTTTTATAAACTCAACTTTAGTAGAATTATATACAACTTTACTTGGACGGATTAATATTTAGAAGATGTTCGCAAATTCCGGGGAAGGAGTGTATAAGTAGACTTATGTAAATATTCTGTTTTTTCATACTTATCGTAATCCAGCATATTTGTCGCTGGGAGCAAGTCAAAATCCAGGGTAAGTCGATTAATCCGAATTTGGAATGAGATTGAGTATCTTGTCTGCCTGCCTAAATAAAATCCTGGCACGGTCCCCAGTGCGGCGAGCATTTCGTTAAAGACGCGCTGGTCGAAGGGTGGTTCGTGGTCATTGAGGAAGACGACGACGTCAAAGTCCGTGTCCCCGATGGCCGTCCCCTTTCCGACAGAGCCGCCAACCTGGTCGAAGCAAAATAAATTAAATAGGTTAAAATTTAACTAAATAAGTGACAATTTTTTACAAATTATGCTAAATTTGGAATATTTTCAAATCAAATAGGAAAGGACTGGGTTTATCTTTAACAAATCTACAAGATTTTATAAAAAAATCTTTACTTAAGCAAAAGTTGAACGCTATTTTATAACATTTTTCCAATATTTATTTTTTTACGGCGTTCGTGACGTTGTAAAATAGCAGACCTGGCCAAATTAGTAATTGACAATTACAATTACAATTACAAATTACAAATTAGTAATTGTAATTTGTAATTTCAATTACTTCATTTAAAAAATGTAATTTTAATTGTAATTTGTAATTGAACCAAATGTAATTGATAATTTGTAATTTGTAATTGCACATTTTAACATGGTGTAATTGTAATTCAATTACTTCCTCAATTACAATTACTAAATCACCATCTATCGTGAGTAGAACCAATAAAAATTTAACGTTTTTGTTAAATTTGCCGTACTTTCATACGTGAACATTTCACTGCCTATCGCTTTTTGGGTTAAAATAAACATTATTTCCCATTCGCAATTTTTTTAATTACATCAGAAATCATCACTAGGATAAATGCTACTAATTACGCAATTGAATTATAAGACAAATTACTAATTATAATTGAGATTTTTTTAAATATTCAAATAATTTCAATACTTGTTCACTTCGAACAATACACACACTGATAAATTCTTTTACTTGCAAAATTTGCCTTTGCAAATTATTTTTTCTATGTGGAAATTTTTATGTAAAGGCATTTACATTGTTAAACGTGAACAAGTATTGAAATTATTTGGCTATTAAATGATAATTTTTATTTACAAATTTCAAATGTAATTGTAATTTGTGATGTAATTCAATTACGTAATTTGTAATTTGTAATTGTAATTGAAGCGAAATTTTTTTAGAGAAGTAATTGTAATTTGTAATTAGTAATTGAGTTTTCCTGAGTAATTGTAATTTGTAATTGTAATTGAAGCAATGTTGTGATCGTAATTGTAATTTGTAATTTGTAATTTGAATTCTAAGTAATTTGGCCAGCTCTGTAAAATAGGTATGTGCAAATTTACGAAATTTTAGTAATATTCCGAATTTTAGTAATATTCCGAAGAAAAATAAGCTTTTGAGCTTGCTCAGATCGGGGGCAGCTCTTTATTTTGTAAAATTTTGTGAAATTTGTTTACAAAATGCACGAAATGATTTTATAAGTTTCAAATGACTGCGTGAATTGTTAAGTTTTTCATAAATTTATTTATTTAAAATTTTGCTCACCTTGATTCGAGGTGGTTATCGTAGATTTAGAGAACTTTGATTTAACGCTCATAAATCACCAGACCCGTATTTTTGGTATTTCAGAATCTGCATGATTTCGCCAATGGCGGGATTTTCAAAATACGACAAGCAAATTTCAGCCAAATTCCGGATTTTTTAAAATGCTGTAACCTCTTGAATTTCAACTAGGGCTGACAAATCCGGATACTCCGAATTCGAAAAATCGGGATTTTTCGGATTTCGGATACTTCGAAATCCGGATTTCATTTAGAGACGAATCCGGATTTCCCTAACTAAAAGATTCATATTTATTAAGGATGTAAAAATTCAAATCTTTTCGAGAAGTGTGAATTTAATAAAATTAGCATGCTATCCATTCCAAATATAGTTAGTTTACCGTATCCGACATCAAACTCACTTTTTTGAAATGCTCCATTTTTTCAGTTCATGAACCGAGAAAAATGCCCAAATTTACCTGCATCGTCGAAAATTTTTTAGAAATATTGAAACTTCTAAAAAAGCTGAGATTGCAATTGAAATTAATAATTCTACTATCTGACATCTATCTGATTCGTTCAAATATCAAGGAAATAAATAATAACAATAAATAATTCAAATCCGGATTTAAATCCGGATTTGGGTCCCAAGAAAAACGGATAATCCGAAATCCAGATTCGAAAATTGGGAACGGATTTGTCAGCCCTAATTTCAACCCGGGTTCAAAACTTGGGTACGGTTTTTCTCAGAATTGCATACTCCCGTGAAATTCTAAAAATCCAATTTTAATAAACTTTTAATTTTCCAAAAATTATCGCTTTTGTACTTTTTGTACTTTTTAAAATCAGAAATAGCATGAAAATATCAAATTTGTCAAATTTTAAATACCGAATTTTTTAAACTTCGTGGAAGCTGTTCTGAGACAAATTGTGCTTAATTTTTGAAATCAGGAAATCGGAAATATTACTGCGTTTAAAAAATCCTGATTTTGGCTGAAATTTATTTTGAAAATTTCGCCACGGAGGAAAACATGCTCATTCTCGAAAACGCAAAAATACGGGTCCACCAATTTTTGATATACATATGTAATATACATATGCAGGTATTTTGAACTTCAAAGGGCGAGTGCCAAAGAATAATTCCAAACTATACTGAGGTTAATTACTCTATTTTGGTCATTTTAAAAAATAACGGTAAAACTTCGGTTGGCGTCGATGAAATTGTTTCGTCTGGTCAATGTGTTTCTCAGACCTTTGGCTAGCCAGTCCACATGTATCACGGTTTCGATGAATTCAAAGTTACAGCAAAAAATAACTTTACCACCAAAATTTCTAGGAAAGTGTATGTATGTAGCCGAGCTAAAACAAAACTAGGGATTTCAATCAATTTCTCAATTCTCAGATACCTGTGAAAGGTCCTGATTCCAGTCCTTCAATTTTTTGATCGGTTTAAACAACTAAAACAATAGCTTCATCTCAGACGAGCTGCAGTCTCTTTTGGTGTTTCGGTAAATTATTCAGGGGCAGTTGAAGAGGATTACCCTTGAAAATGTATGAAAAGTACTGGTCCTTTTTTGCCCTTGTTTTTGAACTTTGAACTTGGTGACTCAATTAACATGCAGGCATAGATCGGATATTTTGCGTACTCCGCGTACTCTATAATCCAGAAAAAGTCCTGTACTTCGGCCTCCGGAGTACTCCGATCTATGCATGCAGTTGACATATTTTAACAACCTTGCGACTTTGCGTTTGGGTCTGTTTCCTGGCTTGTCAGCGTCAATTTTTCAAAAAACGGTACGCGTTATCTTTTTGGGCGGCTGTTACCTTACAGAGAATGGCAGTCCCGCTAATTTGGCTTTTCATACAATTCAAACGAAGTAAAGTACGCTAGACGCTGTAGTATGAGCAGCACTATATCCAGATAATTTAACCCTATGCACACTTTTTCTTTGTGGCAATGTTTCTTCGGAAAAAATTTGTATACTGTCTTTCTTTGGGATTTCTTGACCAATTTTTTAAACCAAACGTTTTATGCCCGCTAAACAAATACGTTTCGAGAATAAAATTACATAACTACCGAAAATCCTTCTCGCGCCTAATTTGCTCAGTTTTGGGTTTGGTTAAATAACTCTGTATGGAGCCTTTGCTCTTTTGAATTGATCTGCCTTAAGTATCACATATTGTTAAAATTTTATGATTGAAATCATAAAGAGGAAAGAGATTTAGGGATATTTATATGCACTGGACGGCAATTTTACATGAGCTTCAAATCAGTTTTGTTTTCTTTGAATTAGAAAATAATTTGAGAAGTACTTTTTCATTATTTAACTTAATAAAAAATTATTTTGGTTTTTTTCAGCAATTAAATGCTTAGGTACAAAAGGGGGCTTACGTAGGTGTAAACGAATTTGTCGCTGAATAACCCCGGAACGGTTTGTCGTAGCGGGTCGAAATTTTGAACAGACGAGCATGTTATTCTCAGATGGGTGTGTGCAAAAATTCAACTCTCTACTTCCAAAATCGCCTCCCCCACAGCCTCCAGAAGTTGAAACAGTCATTTCAACTCTTTCCAAATTCCGTCTAAAAAATTCGGTCTCCGCAGAAAAATTTTCTTTTCAAGTATACGAACCCAACGAAGTCAATTTGACTTACATTGGAGGATTGTACAGGTATTTCACTATTCGAAATGATTTTTATCTCCAATCTAGCTTCAAGGTACTTTGCATAATCTTAGGTCAACTTTGCCGTCTGGGAAGACGCTGCGTCATGATGAAAAATCACCTTATTCATTTTTTTACCATACAATTTAGGAAGATGTTATTCTAAAAGTGGTTTGCATAGACGGTGCACTTAATACTTTGCAGATATTTTCACTTTTTGGGGGACTTTGATAAGTGGGAGGACACCACGACCGGACATTGCACCCTCCACCATAACCTGTTTAAAAAAGTTCTCCTTACTGGGAAGCACCAACTTCCGTGAATTGTTTTCGACATTTGTCGTGTAGTAAGCACTTCGAACCCAATTAGTATTTTGTAGAGAAATTAGTGCTTCGTCAAATGTCACTAAAAACTTACTTTAATTCTTTGGCAGAAAATTTAAATAATTTTTTTTGCAAATACGGGCGCGATTTTTTTTCTTTTTTTCGGTTAGCTGATGCACATGAGTTTTCTGACCAAGTTGCTTCTTAAAAATCTTAATCCCTCTTTCCACTGAATGCTTAGACACCCCAACCTCACGAAAAATTCCATTTTGGGTCGGTGGATTGTGTTTTGAGGTCAAGAGGTCAATTTTCCTAAGTACGGTCGGAATTACCACTTTTCTTTGCCATCTTCTAGGGGTGGTGGTTCTCCTTCACTAAAAATTTCACGCCTTGGTCCTATATTTCTCAATACTTTATTGATTCCAGATTTCGAAACTGTTTTCCATTCACTTTTAAGAGGCCGAGTTATTTAGCTGCACGAGTACTTAAGTTTGGAACGAGTTTTTATGAGAGTCTCAGCTTCTGGGGGCTGTGGGGAAGGCAATTTTGGAAGTAGAGAGTTGAATTTTTGCACACACCCATCTGAGAATAACATGCTCGTCTGTTCAAAATTTCGACCCGCTACGACAAACCGTTCCGGGGTTATTCAACGACAAATACGTTTACACTTACGTAAGCCCCCTTTTGTATATAATGTAAATTAGATGATCTCAATCTCAATTTTTTCGGGGGGACATTAACATTGCTTGTCCCCCCGGCACATTTTCTGGGGGGACATTGTCCCCCTGTCCCCCTGCTTCCGCCGCCACTGTTTATAATCCATCACTTACCAAAGAATGACGACAGTCGCAATTAAATTTTCTCGAGTTTGAAACCTGAAATGAATAGAATTATTTATCCAAAATATTGAATATGTGATTTTCTTCAAATTTCTGTAAACTTTTTCAAACAGAGGATGAAGAAAAGTTACCCAGTTGTTTTTCTAAATTTTGTTCCGAATCTCCACTAGCCAAGTATTTAATTAATTGGAAGAACGTATCCAGAAAAAATCCGGCTGACGAAATGCGCGAGAGGGCTGATTTCTGGCAATGGCGCGCTGCAGTAATTTGTCTCAATTTGTCCCTCTGCAAATATTTCGTCTCACCGAACATTGATAAGCGCGGTGATAACCCCGTAGTGTTAGGGGCAAACAGCATAATAAATTCAGATAAGCTTAGTTTTAAATTTGGGGCGATTTAAGGCTGTTTTAATACTTCAGTATTAATTACGATTAATACTGATTAATCTATCCATGATCATACGTCGGATATGAATGAAAAATGACGTTTTCCATTTATTGACCTACAGTTTCCTAAACTTTCTGAGAATGTTTAAGGTCACTAGTAGGTCATGTAGGTTAAAGCATATTTTCTCATATTGCTCATATTTTCGGGTTTTGGGACATATTCATATTCCCGATCATATTTCGAGCTTTTTTCGTTCATTTTATCATTTTTGGCCAAATTCTTAGATTTGGCAACCAAATCGACAGAAACTGACAAAAAATTCAGTTTTCTCACAATGATTCATTGTGACAAACTTTCAGAAATTTACGTTCACTTTCGCCTAAAGTGATTTAATTCATTGAGAATGAATTAAATGGCCTCAGAACTTGTTTTATTGATAAAAATTAAGCATTACAAGAAAATATATCACAAAATTAAGCCAAAAATTAAAAAAATAAAGTCATTTTTATGGTATATTTTGGCGATTTTTACGGTAATTTTTCATTCATATTTTGAGGTTTTATCATTCATTCATATCCGACGTCTGTCCATGATTATGGAAATGGATATATGTAAGCGTAAGTTTTTAATTTGGGGCGATTTGGTTGATGGAAATTTGCTTATCTGAAATATTGATGAGTTAAGTGATATGTCCAGTAGTGTAAGTTTTCGAATGGAAATCAACACCATAAAGACTGACCAGCTTAGGCTTTTATGTAATTTGGGTAGGGTTTTACATTGTCAACTTGTCATGACATTTTGACATGTCATAAATGTCATAAATGTCAGACATTTATTTTTATTGACAATTATGACATTTATGAAAATTTGTCAAATTCGAAATTGTCAAATTGTCTGTCAACTTGTCATTGACAACTATGACATTTTCACTGTTTATCGCATTTTTCCCAAACAAAAAGTCATCGTAGGCGGTATACATATTTTGTTACTCACCTACACATCTTTCCTCTCATATACTTTTTCACTACGATTCGTAGTGAAATATTTGGTAAATATTTTAAGTGTCGTTCGTAGTCTACGAACGAGACTTAAAATATTATATTGACGACTTCCGTTCGTAAAATTATAACTTATTCCGTTTGTCTCTGATCATCAGTTTTATTTGGAGCATTGATTTGGAAGAGTTGGCCGATTCCTTGCATGTTGCTTCCAATGATATTGACCTGAAATCTGTCTTTTCTTATAACATAAAATGCTTTTCGTTAAACATGAGAGCAATATGAAGCTTGGACTACTGGTTGTCTACAGAGTTTAGTAAGGTCATATATTAATTCACTCGATACATAATTCATCCAGGATATACAGGAAGTTGCAGCCAGCTCGGTGAATATTTTCTAAAAGTTTCTACTTACGACCAACTAGGTAGAGTTAACTGCAACTAATTGAGATGACTGCTACCAATGCTACAACGTTTAAATATTTACAATTGTAGACCGAGAGACTGAATCTTACTTGGCAATCAAACTAAGAGAACTATAAATAAAATTGAAGCAGGCTGAAAAGAGGAAATTCCTAAAACTTCTTCAATGAAATTGTGAACGGTCGTAATTAAATTTGACGTTATACTTATCCTTAGATATATATAAATACGAGTGGATGGCGATTTAACAAGAACAATTGTTGACTCGTTGAATAGGAATGAGGGAAAGAAGAGTTTTAATAGCTGCTACCAAGATTACCGGTCACGGGGCATATTGAGATTGACAATTATGACAAATGTCATAAATGTCCGTCATGTTTGTCATAAATGTCATACATTTTGAAGCTGTGACATTTATGACAAAAAATTGACAAATTGACATGTCATGACATTTATGACATGACATGACATTTATTCCGTTGACAATTACAATGTAAAACCCTAAATTTGGGGCGATTAGATAATTGAAATACCTCAAATAATTTGAGTCAAATGATAAGAAGTTCGATATAAAGTCAAGGCGCCACGGTGCGGTGATGCGATAAACGGTCAAAGATGTCAAATTTTTTCATTCTAACCGTTTTAGAGATGGGGATTTTAAAAATCGACATAGTTTTGCCGTGAAATGACCGCGTGACCGTGTAGACGACACCAAAGTCGAATTTCTTGGTTTAATCGTTTTCGCTAATCGTCAAAAATCTCCTTTCGACGTACGATGATCCCGTGACCATTAAAATGAAGATAATAAAAATTTAATCTTGCCATGCGAGGAGTTAATAAATGGCCATGTTCGTTTCAAGCACGATTAACTCGGGGCAAGATGAGACGTGCCTAGAGTGGGGTGATGCAAGACAATTACAGACAAGTGGTGAAGGACGATGTAAATAGGCGTGCCCACAAAGACAATTCCGTGGGTTTTCACCCCTATGCTACATTTCGTTTGTAACGGTTTATTATGTTGAGTTTTTAAAGTGAGCCCTTCTGCATACTTCTTGGTGTGCCCAAGATATTATTCATTTACAGAATTGTAATATGGCAAGTGATTTATCATACATACATCAACTTAGTTGTACCAAGAACTTATTTATGAAATACATAAACATTCATGTCGACAAAATCAGAAGCGAAGCCGTCTGTCTAACACAGAACTCCTGAATGACCAAAGGTGTCAACGGTTCGACGAAATTATTTCCAAATTGCACCCTTAAAGGTGTCAACGACCTGCACATCCTCCTCGTCACGGACGACTTGCTTCTTCCCTTGTACAGCAAAATCCACTTCGAGCTTGTCCTAATCACATTTCCCGCCATGGAAAACGCTCCCAGTGATACGAGCAAGGTTCCCACGTATGGACAGATGAATATCCCAGCTCGGAAAACACTAGCCTCGTCATCATGAAGTATCTTAACCGCCACAAAACCTAGGATGATCTGTACTAACAGGAGAAAGTAGCCGAACAAGGCGAATATCCTGAAACGTACTACAGCATTGACGATTTTCTCGGAAACCTGCAATATTTGGCAAATATCTTGAAGTGTACACTCTTAAAAATAAAGTTAACTATTTGAAAAATAATTATAGCCAAAAATATATACAGGGTGGTTTAAATATCAGGTTACGATGGAAAATTTGACAATGGGAAAAATTCCCAAATCTCCATTAGTTATCGAAATTTTGCCTGTGAAATTCAATATTTTAAGAATTTTGTCATCAGTGTTCCATAAGTTTTAATAACAATTAATAAAAATCTCAATCCCAAATCCGTAACTAATGGAAATTTGTGAATTTTTCCCATTGAAAAATTTTCAATTGTAACCTGACATTTAAACCACCCTGTATATTACTAAATCCGGAGTAACCTGAAAAAGCTCAGGGGTGGTCCATAAATTATGTCACGCTGAAGATGGGGGGAGGGGTTCCAAGCTACCGTGACAAAATGTGACATATGGGGAGGGGGGGTCGGCCGATCCGTGACATCACGTTTCCCAGGTCTGACTTAATGCAAACTCTAACTCATTTTAATTATTCGACTAGGACCAAACTAGTTTCGCAATTATTTAGAAATATATGTCCATCCCAATATATGAAACCTTTGATCCAAAAAATCCAAAATTTCAACCAAGTTTTAGATTTTGAGATTTTTAGCCGAGTTTCTAAATTTTGTTTAAACCTTCAAATAATTTTCAAAATACCCAATTGTTTGTAAGTTTAAAAAAAATTAAAAATTCATGATGCCATAAAGTTTGCATAAGTTCAAAAAATCGTCATAATTTTGCAAACATGCATGCAACAATTAAAAAAAACATTACTAAATCTCCAAAAATTTGCCCAATTTAAAAATTCGTCCGAAAGAACCTTATTTTTCATAGTTTCAAAACTGTGCAGGGATTGGAGACAACTGCATGATTCAAAAATGCGTAGCAATAACACAAGAAAACTGAAAAATTTAGTGGTTTTTTACAACTTACCGTAAAACCTCTATTTATAGCCCTATTCTAATTATAGCTGGTCTCCAAATATAGCCGGGTCTAGAGACCAAGATTTCCAAATTATGGCCGGGTCTCTAATTATGGCCTGTCTTGTCCACTGTGTCCCCGTTTATAGCCCATTCAAGAAAAATGTTGCACATTATTCTAATCGACGAATGAGTTGAACTGTTAATTTTTACCTATTAATTTCAAGTTAATAATGGATATAACCATGACAAAAATTTTTTAAAAAATTGCTAAACCTCGTGTAAAGATTTAGATTTAAAGTGAATGGGTTACTGATGGCATATTTTGCTAATTAGAAAACTCAAATTGAATCGGCATGATTTTGAAACATCTAAAATTGTAGGCGAAACAAAAGTTAGCCGGGTCTCTAATTATGGCCGGTCTCCAATTGTAGCCGGGTCCGGGACACTCAGTTTTGGATTTGGATTTTAGCCCCGGCTATAGATGGAGTATTTAAGGTATTTGAAATTCTTGCTATCGGAAAAATTCAGATTTTCAGGCGTGACGTGACAAGAGGGGGGGAGGGGTCACAACGAGCGTGACAAAGGCGTGACAACAGGGGAGGGGGGGTCTTAAAAAAGGGTTTTTTTGAGTGACATAATTTATGGATTTTCCCTCAAAGCTTAATTGGAATTTTTTCATCTTATATTTAATTTACATAATTTGGAGTTTAGAGTGCATTAAATTTTCAAAAGGATAAAATCGTGTTTAAAAGTGTATTAAAGCATTGACAATTTTCTCGGAAACCTGCAATTTTCTATAGTCCGATAATCCCACCGAGAAACTGAGGGCGCGTTTCAACTCTGTCAATAAGTAGGCAAGACAGGGCACGAGGGTAACGCAAGATTGGTGAGCCCCAGCAACGATGAGGGTCGCCATATTCA